TGGATCTTTATATCAAATAGTGCAAGAACCTAGTGGGGCACAGCTCCTGGACCCATTTGGCAGTTCCATTTCCCAAGGATTTTGGACACTTGTGTGCTTAATGATTGCTTGTTCAGTGTCTCCCTGATTCCCAGGACCACCAAGCCCTGCTGGAGTCTGTGTGAAGGCCTTTTGATTTTTCTGGCCCCCAGTGGAGCTTGTTTGGGGGGCGGGGAATCCATGCGCATCCTGGGTATCCCAAGGCTAGGAACAGAATAATTAGAGCTAGTGGTCTGCTCAGCTGTCCCCCCCAAGGGCCCTTGGGAGAGAGTCCTGCCCCCTCCCACCCCTGTCTGAGGTCTGTTCTTTCTGTAAAGGCAGTGCCAGTCCTGGTCTAGCTTTACTGTACAGATGAGCAGACTGAGGCACTGGAGCAAATGGTACCCTCATCATCCCTGCTTCTTTTGGTGCATGGGGGGTGAGGAGGCCAGGAGAGGCCCTGGGATCTTTTCACAGGGCCATCCAGCTGCACAAGGTGTGGGTAGGGCTGTCCCAGCAGGCAGCCCCTGGCCCAGCACTGAGCTCTCCTGCGTGGGGCGGGCAAGGACTTTGGAAGCTGCTGGAGATGTTGACGCGTTGCTGTGGATACGAGAGAGTGAGAGCAGGGAGATGGGGCGGGGGCGGTAGGAGAGGCTGGCTGTCTACTTGCTCTCCCAAGCCTCCCTCATCTCCGGAGGGCTCTCCTGCCTGCGCCTCCAGTGCCCAGCACGTAGTCAGCCATGTGTGCCTCGAAGGGGCTCAGTTCCTCTGGGCCCCCACCCACTGGTGCCAGGAGCTTTTCCCAGTTGTGACAACCGTAGAATTCCCCAGACATCTAGTGTTCCATGGTGGGTGGGTTGCAGGATTACCTCTAGTTGAGACCCTGTTTCACTCTAAAGCCCTATTTTAGTCTGAGAAATAGTAGCTGAACACCTACTGTGGGTAAGGCACTGTGGGGATCCCAGTCCTGTCTCCTGGGACCCTGGAACCTTGGGAGTTGATGGAGAAAAAGTCTTCCTTGGAAGAAGAGGCTTCTCAGTAGAGACCTGAAGCCCTGGGATCAGGTGGGGCAGGGAGGGGTGTGTCCCAGGAGAGGGGATAGCACCCTGGCTGCAGGGGGTGAGGGCAGGGGTGCTGGGGTGAGGATTTTGAGGAGATGGTGGTGTGAGGTGGGGAGGGGGAAGAGCAGCCTAAGGGTTCCATTTAATCCCAAGGGCAGGGTGGGGGACAGGCGGGAGCAGCTGGGCTTTGCAAAGGAAAATCCGTTTATGGAGAAGAGATTAGAGGTTGAGTCGAGGAGAGGGGTGGGCTGATTTATGAATTGGGTAGGAGGGGGAAGCGTCAGGACTTGGGGGCAGGAGGCTAGGGTGACCACCAGTTTTCTGATCCAACAGCCCAAGGCTATGGGGTGGTGGTGATGATTATAGTTTGCTGAAGAGTCCCCCAGGAGGAGAGGCAGATGGGGAAACTAAGGCCTGGAGGGGCAGTAACCATGCCCCCCAGGCAGAGTTGGGAGCTCCCTTAGGGTCAAGTGGGGCTCAGGAGATTGGTCGCTTATCTGAGGTTGGGGCAGAGGGACATTGCTAGGCCTGAGGGAGACATGGGTGCCCAGGAACTGCCTCCCCAGCTAGTCCCCTCCAGCGGGCAGGGGTACAGAGAGCAGCTACAACTGGCTGCAGGTGCTTGTGCACCACCAGCTGGGGGGTGGGGAGGGCCCCCCAATATTGCAGGGAGTGATAACCACCCCCCACCCAGGCTTCCTGATAAAGGTGGCCCAGATGGCCAGGCAATGGACAAATGATATGGGGGTGAGGAGCCGGCCTCCCAGGGAGGGAGTGGGGCTGGGTGGGTTGCTTTCGCCCAGTGATGTTTCAAGAACATCAGGTCTCTGACACACACGTTCTGGGTGCGCCTGTGGGAGCTGTTCCCCCTCATCTCTGGCACCAAGAGCCCCTCTCTATGCCAAAGATGCCAGTCTGTTAGGAAGCAAGCTGGGGCAGCCTGGGTCGTCCAGGAGGGAGGAGAGGGACAAGGGAGGGACTGCAGATGACTATCATTTTAAATAAATGGGCATAGTCCTAGCTCCAAACTCGGGTGGTGGGTAAACAAGATCGGCAAACATGTTAGCTGCTGCCCAAGCTGAGCCAGAAGTCTGGGCTTGAGTTCCTGGGCCTGTAGACTCTTTTCCAGAGATGTATTCAGTATACCAGGTTGGGGGTTGGGATGCATTATCACCTCCAGGAGATGCTGAGCACAAAGATAGAAAAGCTGGGAAAGGGGATGGGGTAGGGCAGGGCAGGGCACCAGCTGGGTAAGGAGAGACCACTCTGAGCGGTGACACTGAGCCTTCGTGTTGGCTCCTGGCTGTCCCTAGTTAACCCTGGCCCAGCCAGTCACAGGGTCAAGTCTACCATGGCCTTACCCACAGCATACTCCCCAGCACCTGTTTCAGCCAGGTTGCCTGGGGCAGCCAGCAGGCCATATCTAGGGCCCTCACCAGTCCTGAACCCCTGAGTGTTCCACCTTTCCCCGACAGTGGACTGTGAGAAGGTGGCAGGACCTGGCATCTTGCAGGCATTTGCCCAACATTGTGGGAGTGGAACTACGTGGGCAGCAAGGGCTGGTATATGTCCCCACGCCAATGAGCTGTGTGTGGCGGCTGTATTCCCAGCGGCTTCAGCTGCCTGCGACCTGCCCTGGTGGACACTATCGCCACTTGTGCAACCTGCTCTTTCTTTGTAAGGTGGAACTGCTGGGTGGAGGGGCGGGAAGGTGGGGACCAGCCCCAGCACCCTAAATGGGGAAGTGAGCCTACTGCAGGATACTCTCCCCCCTTTTGCTCTCCCCCATGTGCCCTGCAAAATGGCGACATGACTGTGTGTCCCTCAGAGGGGTGTTGCTGCCCCAGATCCCAGGTTTAGTCCAAAGCCAGCAGCCCTGCCCTGGTAACCAGATTCCCCTTCCCCAGATCACTCCTCTTGAGTGGTTGCCACCATTGAAGTGAGGTTGGGGTCCCTTCTCTGGCTCTTTTGAGCCCCCCTGGTTCTGGAGAGGACATCACTGCCACGACCCCTCCCCCAACTGCTGCTAGTCTTGCCTTGTGGATTGTTTGGGGGAAGTAGGGGGTGTAGAGGAGACAGCCCCAGGGATTTGGGGCTGTCTTTGGTCTTAGGGACAGCTTCTCTCCCCTCAGCAGCATAGTTGTGGCCTGTGACTCCCCGGGAAAGGTGGCACCAGTACCCTTTTCCAGACACCTGGGTTCACACCCTCCTAGGGACTGCCCTTCCCCAGCTGTGAGCATGAAACCTTCTGGGGGGCCTGCTAGGCTTCTGAACCCCTTCTGTTGTGCTGGAGGTGTTCATGTGCTGCTTGGAGGAAGGGGTGGGGGAGTGGAGGCTTTAGTACAGCTCTTTCCTGGGCCAGGGTGACGGCTGAGTCCCCGTGGAGTCCACCGGTGTCCCCCATTACAGCCCTTTTCTCCAGGGCAGACCTTGAGCTTTCACAGCAGAATGCCACCAGGTTACCCTGAGAATCCTGGCCCTGTTCTCCCCATGGTTGCAGGTCTGTTCTACGGTCCCTCCTGCTGTCTCCTGGTCATCTCTGTCTGTATCCCCCACCATGGGTTTGGCTTTGGGAGTCTTATCTGACCCCTGGCTGAAAGCCCCCTTCTGTCTGTCTCCCCCCAACACCTGCCCCCCACCGGTGGACGAGTTCCCAGAAAAAGGGTGAGCCCAAGACACTGAAGTGTTCCAGGGTGAACCTTTCAGTGTACAACCCATGAGGTAACACCCTGATGGGGCTTTGCCCCCAGCCCTCCAGCTGGCTTCTTTCCTATGTGGGGCTCCATCCAGTGCCAGGAGGGGTGTTGCACATGCACGTGGGCGCCCCTGCTCGTGTGTCCACATTCTATATACACACGCCCACACACACTTCAAAACCTCTGGGCATCCAGTGGAACAACACCAGGAATCTCAGGCTCCCAGATACTTAGTGCAGAGTCCTGCAGGCCGCAAGCTCCAGATGCCTGGCCCCTTGGCTGGGGTGTGGTGGAGGTCCAGGCTGGACTGTCTAAGGTTGGGGCCGTTGGGGCCCTTGGGGCACCTGGCCAGCTGGGGAGACCCTGGGGGTTGAGACCCCCGGGGGGGGATCAGTGAGGCTTGGATTGGGGGGAGGCAGGATGGGCAAGGCCAGCTTGGGCAGTGGGTGTGGTCTGCAGAGGAAGTTGTAGGGTGACGACCTGCCCATGCCTCTGCACCCCACCCCTTCCTGGAGGTGCTGCGTTGCAGACCTGCATATGGGGCCGTTGTACCTGAATATGCAGGGATGCAGGTGGCTCAGATGGCCCTTCACATGTCTGTCTACACGTAGAGGGGCCACGAGGGTCAGCCGAGGAGTTGGGCATGGGAAACTGCCTAGATTGTGTCCCCCACTTTGCACCCCAGGTGGTCATTTCCAAAAGGAGGGAGTTTAACTGGGGTCGCTAACACCTAGGAGGTCCCAAATGCCCCAAAGGAGGGGTAGAAAGGAGTAGTGTGAGGGTGGGGACTGTGAAATCAGTTTCCATGAGGAGAAGCCCCTCCAAAAACCCAGCATACATCTGAGCCTGCACATGTGTGCAAATACACAAGGAGAAGGAGACCCTCATCACCATGGTGGTGCTGTGGGGGCTGGTAGAATCCAGCCTTTGTAGGTTCTACGTTTAACCAACAGAGTTCGCACAGCCCTGTAATTACTACAAGTTCCCAGGAAATCAAGGACAAGGATATTCATTAGGGGTTTGTGAAATGAGCAGGGGTCTTTTTTTTATTTGTTGCATTTACATGGTTTAAATTTATACCCAGAATTCAGCCTCTAGAACCCGGGGTGGGGATGAGACAGGTGTCTGGGATACTTTGGGATCTGATGTGATGTCCCCCTCTCCCTGTCCCCACACCTACAACCCACTAACCACTGTCTCTCTGCCTTCTGCCTCATCCATCCAGGTGAGCGCCCCTTTGCCTGTGACTGGCAAGGCTGTGACAAGAAGTTCGCACGCTCCGATGAGCTGGCCCGCCACCACCGGACACACACAGGGGAGAAGCGCTTCCCCTGCCCACTCTGCTCCAAGCGCTTCACCCGCAGTGACCACCTGACCAAGCATGCACGCCGCCACCCTGGCTTCCGCCCGGAACTGCTCCGGCGCCCGGGCACCCGCAGTACCTCTCCCAGCGACTCCCTGCCCTGCAGCCTGGCTGGCAGCCCCTTGCCCAGCCCAGCACCCAGCCCAGCCCCTGCTGGCCTGTAGGGCCCATCCAGCCTACCCGGATCTCGCCCCGTCCAGAGCACCAGCAACATGCCTGTTGTCCAGGCACCCTTCCAGCGTTCCCCCTGAGGGCCCTAAGATGCCTCTAATCCCCTCAAGAAAGCAAGGAGGGGGCCTGAGACTGGACTGGGGTCAGCTGGACCTTTTGGAGATGCCCCCCTAACCCTCCATGGGTAGCTGGGGCCCATGTCTGTAAATAGCCATGACCTATAACTCTTCCCATTTGCTAAATTGGGACCCCAGGTGGGTGGCCGGCAGGTGCTCCCCTTTCCCCTTAGCCACTTCCCTGCTTTCTGGGATATGTGGGGGGGGGCAGGAAAGGCACCCCCTGTCCAGTGCTTGGAATCAGCCCCAGGCCCCTCTCTCTAGATTGGGAAGAAGTGAGCAAAGAGCCATAGAGGAACCAGGGGTGACTGAGGGCTCACATGTCCCCATCCACCTGCCTGGGGCCCCTCACCCCATGGAAAGCCATTGGAGATGTTCAGGGAAATGGGGTGCGGCCTGGCCGTCCCCTACTCGGGTATTCGATCTCAGGTGTTCACAGGTTCTGCCCCACTGCCCACTGGAGGCAGAGGGGCAGGGGGAGGGGGAGGGTATCCATAGAGTCTGGGTTTTGCTTCTGAGATGAGGGAGGGTGGGAGAGGAACAGGGTTCTTCCAAAGAGTGTTTGCCTCACTTTGGTGATGGTGGTGGGGGGTGGATATGAGGATGGAGTGAATGCCGGCTTATTTATTTTCTTGTCTCTGCTGGCTGGGGCCCTGTCCTGCCCCCCTGGGTGGGTGTGTGAATGTGAGTGAGAAGCTGGTGCCACAGCTACTCCCTGCTCCCTACTTTGGCCTTCTGCAGCATCAAGTGACAATCATTCCCTCCCCTTAGGGACCAGACAGCCACTGGGCTAAATGCACCCCTCCCCACCCTGTAGGTGGAGGTGGGAGCCCTGGCTCCATCCTGCCCCTTGCTGCATGTTCCTCTGGGCTGCCAGGCCTGGACCAGTGATTGAGTTACCACCCACTAGGACAGGAGGCAGGAGGACTGGCCTGGAACCCCCTGGGAATAGCTCGTTGTGTTTTTTTGGACCGGGTAGAATATTTTTTCAGGCACCAATCCCTTTCTTGATCTGGGCCACTGTGGGTGGTCCATCATCCTCAGGGGATGAGAGTGTGAGGGGAGGGTCCTCATGATCTGAACTTAGGGTGGAAAGGCATGGATACCATGTCCTCTGGTAGAGTCGGATTTCATTTAGGACCAAGGGACTGGGAACCCAGCCTCCTTGCCCTGGAGTGGGAAGGGACCCAGGATCCCTGCCTCCAGACCCTAAAAGGGCCTGTTGTGTGCCCCCCTTCCCCCATTGGCTGCAGGAGGTTTGTGGCATCTGTATTTGTTCCAGAGTCTGCCTTGTGTCCTGATTGGGGGCTGAGGGAGTGGGTGGATGCACTGTTGTGGACCTGGACCCTCAGTTTGGCAGGATCCAGAGATGGGTGCCTGGGGTCCTTTTGCAGCTGGGCTGGGGAGGGTCTGTCTTCAGGTTTGCCTACGGGCAGATCCTAAAGTTGGTCCATCTGCCCGCAATCCTTACTCTCCCAGAGGTGAAATGCCTTTGTCCATGAGGGCAGGGCGGTATATGCCCCATTCACCTTTGTTCTGTGTGGATGTCCCTAGTTGTCCCAGGCCTGACAGGTGCCTGTCCACAGATGGACTTCAGGTCCCAGGGCCCAGGAAGCTGAGAACGCTAATGTCTGGCCCCTCTCCAAGGGCCTGGAGAGACCTATGCCATCCTCCCTCATGGGGCCAGTGGTAGCTGTGGCCTTTTGGGGGGGGGGGGAGGTAGCATCCCTAGGGACTTGTGCTTTCTGGGGTGGCACCCCTCTTCCCTGCCCTGCCTGACCATATCCTTGTATTTAATTAAATAAGCCCTTTTTTAAACCCAACTCAGTGCCCGTGTGGTTTTTCCCATTGTGGGACCGCAGCAGGTGGACTCTTTCCCATTTGCCAGTGTGGCCTCAAGGTCACCAATCTTCTGAGGAAACTGAGGCAGAGGGCTAGTGAATTCAGAGACCTGATGGGGGTCTTGGCAAGTCCACAGTGGTTGGGATGCAAAATACCCTACAGCCTTAAACTCTGGGGAGGGGTCTACCTGTAGTAGGGCATGCTGCTGCCTAGTGTCACCCATGCCTCTAGCAGCTGCGACCACTACCCATCTTCCCGCTCTTACCTCCCTACCAAGACTCAGTAACGCAGCACAGGGGAGAGGCTGGGGAAGCCCATGCTCTGGTGGACGGTTTGCTGGAGCTACTGGACCCCAGAGGCCCCCGCCCCAACATCTGTGCCTCACCAGGCTCCTGTGTTGAGTCATCCTGCAGCTCCTATGTTGTATGCATACTGTATGCTCTCAGTTGGGAGAGGGGGCCCTTAGGGAGGGAAGATTAGCGTCCCCGGGAGCACTGAGAAGCTGGTGGGAGCTTTGAAGCTTTGAACCCCCTCCTAGGAAAAAGGCATCCCAGATTCAGGCAGTCTCCAAAGCCCTGAAAGCTGGTGGGCCTGCGGTTGGGGGAGTGAAGACCCTCTAGGGGGCCTTTTCTGCTCCCCACTCCGGGGGAGCCCATGGCCCTGGCATCTGGTGGCTGCCCACACCGCGGGCTCCCGACCCACTTTCCTCAGGGTCCTGCCCTTGTGGCCATCAAAGTTGCCCTCATTCTGAGCTCAGGCTCTCGCTTTTATTTGAGGAGAGCCTCCCTCTTGCATTCCCTTGCTCCTACTCCACCCATGTCCTCTTTCTATCGGATTCTGACCTGCAAGACTGCAGACATCACTCCCTGGACCCCTGTCCCCCTCTGCCAGGCTTCCCTGTTGTTTTGCCGTGGAGTACCTGGCATGCTGAGTCCACACGCCCGCAGCCCCTCCATCTCTCCTGGACACTCCCACATGCCCCAGAAACAGCTCCAAGGTGTCCCCCCCTGCCTCCTGGACACTATGTTGGCATGCGGACCACTGACCCTTCCCCCCAGCTCAGGTCCCCCTGTGCGCAAACGACACCTCCAATCCATCGCCAACTGGACCTTGCCTTGAACCCCAGACCCAATGTTCCCAGCCCATCCCGAGGCTGCCCTTCTGCATCCCTGCTCTCACCTTCAGTTGGCAGTGCTATCTTTCCAAGGGTGCAGGCCAGAATCCTTGGGGTCATCCTTGACCTTTACTCTTTGTCTCACCACCCACATCTAGTCCACCTGGAAATTTCCCTGAAGCTGCACCTTCAAAACATATCCAGAATCTGCCCACTTATCCTCCTTCCTCTGCCTCCGCCCAGCTCCAGCCCCCATCATCATCCACCTGGAGCACCTTAGTTCCCTCTGCCCTGGTCCTTGGCTCCCACCCTCACCCCTATAGTCTGTCCTCATAACATCCACCAGAGGGCGGACGTGAGCGCTTGAGTCAGGTCCTGCAGTTGCCCATCACGACTGTTGTCCCTCAGCAGCCACCATAAGGTGCCTGTGAGCACCTGTCAGGCCCTGCTCCTCTTCTGCCCACAGCTCTCCAGGGTTCTCACCTACCTCAGGATAAAAGCCCAAGTTCTCTCAAGGCCCACAAGGCCCTGCCCCACCTGCCCCACTCCACACCCCTTTCCTCCCTGCCCTCACCTCCTCTCCCCGCCTTGCTCACTGTGCTTCAGCCATTCAGGCCTCCACAATGTTCCTCCAACATGCCAGGCACAGACCTGCCGTAGGGCCTTTGTGTATGTTGTGCCCTCTGCTTGGAATGCTCTTCCCTTAGATGTCTGCTTGGCTCCTCTTTACCTTCAGAACTGCTCAAATCCCACTTTCCCATAGAACTATGTGGATCACTCCTTTTCCCAGCCCTACCCTGTTCTACTACTCCAACCCCAGCACTTTCTGCCTTGTATCACACTATCTCATTTACTTATTTCCTAAATTTCCTGTTGTCTGTCTCCCTCCGTCAGGGCAGGGGATCTCTGCTTTGGTCACTGATTTTCTAGCACTGAGTCTGGCATGGAGTAGATACTGGGCAAACATTTGTGGAATGAATGACCAAGGCCATTGAACATAAATGGCACTTACTAGTGCGAGCTCAAGGATGACTTCATTTCACCTCACTAGCATTGTTAGGGCTACACTCAACCCTTCTGTTGTTGGTGATGGAGAGGTGTGGAGAGACCCTTGGGTGACGGGTCTCAAGCTCAAACGTGCTCAGGGCCAGATGGCTGAAGTAAGGAGAGAGGTGGGCTGAGAGAGGGGAGAACTGCTCAGATCTCCACACCCTGTTCACAGAGGGCTCTTCGGCAACTGCTAGTTGGTGGGGCCAGGGTAGCCAACGGTTCATAGAGAGGGTGGCAATTGCAGTTTTTATGTAACATCTCCCCAAATTCTAAACATGGGCAACAAATTTACATCATTTTAAAGACTAGTACTGAAACAAAACGATAATCAAATATACCTAAACGCATGTTCATAGCAGCATGATTCACAATAGACAAAGGTGGAAACAACCCAAATGTCCATAATCGGATGAATGGATAAAATACGGTTCAGCATAGCATCTAGAACAGCTGGCATAGAGCAGGTGCTCAGTATTTGGTGCACAAATGAATGGATGAAAACAGGACTCCTGTGGGCCTTGGGAGGATCAGAGTGCTAACAGGAGTCCAGGTGGGAGAAATAAAGCACGCACTGAGAGCCAACGGTATACCAGGGCGGAGGTGAGTTTTAGAGCGTGGAGTAACTAAGGTACTGAGATTGCTGGGTACAGGTACAGGACTCATCTTGTCCAGCAGAGGGCACTTTAGAGAAACATGCTAATGACGCAAATCAAACGCAAATAAGCCATAGGCGGGCCCTGAGGGGCTTTTCTCATCAGGCGAGCCGTGGACAGCCCAGGCACCGCCGGGGCCTTGGGCTCAAAATGGCTCTACTGCCGCCGCTGATGACCTGGAGGCGGCGCCGGCGAGGCTACCGGAGGCCTCAGGCAGGACAGTCTGCAATCTCCACCCCATCTCTTGCAGCTGCCTGTCCCGGCTCAGGAGCTCGCGACCCGCCTCGATCCCGCGAGATCAGGCGTTTCTGATCGGGCGCGCTGTGGACAGCCGCTCCCCGGAGCCTTACCGCGGCGTACTGGGGGCCTCTGGGGGCCTCGGAGCAAGATGGCGGCGTCGGGGTCTGTGAGGCGCGGGCGGAGGCGACCGCGGCGCCAGTGAGGGGCCCGGGGACCTGGGCGGCTCCGGGCCGGGGCCTCCCCGCGGGACAGACCATGCTACGCTCCACCGGCTTCTTCCGGGCCATCGACTGCCCCTATTGGTCTGGGGCGCCC